CACACCCACACCCACACCCACACCCACACCCACACACCCACCCCGAATGTTGCTGCACAAGGTCAAAAGATTCAAGCAAATAAAAAAGAAATCGATCAAGTTTGTGAATGGCTACAAATTTATCAATATTACAGTCATATTAATGTCATAATCAAATGTATTGAAAAATTTGATCTTGTACCATTGAATAATGAAGAAGCCAAAATCGCTAATTTAAAACGTTTGAGTGGTAATGAAAATTGTTCATTAAGAGAAATAACTGAAGCTTATAGAATTTTATATGAATGTTTTCAAAATTTTACCCATCAACATTTACAGTTAATTAAATTAGTAGTCGAATGTTCAAATGTTATTCACATGATGAAAAAAGCTGATCTTTATTCTATACAGGGTCGACGTCGTTTTCGAGTATTACAAGATAATTTAACCACACAATTTCAATTACAAGAATTAAATAATATGGTATTAAACTCATGGATTATAACATACGCATTAATCGAACCATTTATGTTTCAAGCAAGAAACTTCGATGATTTTATTCATCAAGTCGCACAAATAACAAATTTAGAAGGAAGTTCATTGAACCACATTAAAGGTAAGTGACGGATACAAGCAGCAGTCTAATTGAATTCGAAAATAGATATCTTCAGTTTTGAGAATGTCCTTATAAGGAACTATTCTCTGTTTAAAAAATGAAATCCAGTTGAAAGAGAAGATCTACACCTAGTGCATTATGTTCGAATTTTATTTCTGTTATATATTGATCGACTAGTTATAGTCGCGTTGAAAATGTTCAAAATTTATCATGTTTTAAAATTATTTTCTTGTGGTCTTGGGATTATAAAAAAGAAATATTATAAAGAAAAATCTTTCCGATGCCCCTCAATTTCACATTTTGTTTCTACGATTAACGTACAAGTAACGTTGATCGAGAATCGATTCACTAGTCCCTAGGTTCATTTCATAACCTAGAAACAAAAAATTGCTCATAACTGTCTACTTCTGTGAAGCTGAGGGTAAGCATGATCATTCGAATTTAAACGGCCACAGAATTGAATGCTTGAAGGATTAGATATGTGCTTTAAATAAGCAAAGGTTTTTCGGAAATGTCAAAAACTATGATATATTAGTGATCATAGAAATGGCACAGATCAGGATCAATGTGTCCAACACAATCACATCCGTGCTATCTTTGGTCTACTATAAGTTCATTAGAGCTATATTGGATTTTTAAACTAGTCCTATTATTTTGATGAATATTTATACTGTTTGATCATTCGTATCATGTCTATATTCAACGATCATAGATAGGAAACGGATGAACAGATAAAAATCTTACTCACGAAAAATATGGCTCAAATGATTGAAGGAGTGTTTCCAATAACTAAAACTATGACCAATCTTTTAATTAATGTTATTGCACATCTCACGACCATGATCATCTCTATCATGCTTAGTCTTTTTTCAAGATCAATATTGTTGTACTAGCGAGAACCCGTGCATTCTGCACGGCTGTTTTCTCCTTTAATGTATGACCTCAGACATTTAACTTTTCATCCGGTAAAATACATACAGACACTCGATATTATGTGTATAGATAGGTTGCCCTACGACCTCATACTCTCATATCGCAGATATTTCTATAGTCCATGCGGCCTTCGGCGTTATAGCCTTATATTCTTTGTAGCCTTATCTCCCTATTGCCTTACTCCCTTCAGGGCCTATGCGTATCACAATATAATAGCCCTTGGGAATCTATGAATACCCCCAAAGGATGCTCCTTGAGGACCGATGGGTACCCCCATAGCATGGCCCTTGATGACCTATGGGTACCCCCATAGGATAGCCCTTCGGGACCCATAGATACCCCCATATAATAGGCCCTGGAGACCTATGGGTAGGGGTGGGAAGTTACCGTTACGTTACCAAGTAACTAGTAACTTTTGAGTTACTAGTTACCGAGTAACTAGTAACGTCGGAGTTACCAGTTACCAGGTAACTAGTAACTTCGGAGTTACTAGTTACTTTTGGTAGGTAACTTGTCTAAAAAGTGGAGATATCGCTTCCTAATGAGTGAATACCATCATTACAGTACTTATTCAGCTCACGAGTTAC